CTACCTTCCCCACAGTACTGCTGCCACCTGAATGCTGTCCTGCAACACTTCCCACCTGAATAACTGCAATAACCTGACGGGTGTCCTTTCTTCAGCCCCGTCCCCTGTATTCTAGTCTCCAGAGACTAGGTCACATCACTCTTCTGCTCAGAACCATGGCTTCCCACCACTGTTCGCATTTTATCTGAGTTTCCAGCCAGTCCCTACAAGGCCCTTGAGGAAGCAGCTCCAGCTGGCCTCTCCCTCAAACATCCCAGCTCCTTGCTCACTGTGCTCCAGCTGTGCGTGGCCACCTGCTGTCCTCTCCCTGCCTGCTCCTCCCCTGGCCCCACCGGTTCAGTCTACATCCCCTCATCCTGCTGAGATTTCTTCACAGCCCTTACCAATATCTGAAGCTATATTGTTTATTCTGTGTGAATTTGTTTATTATGTGCCTCTCCCTTTACAGCATCAGCCTCATGGACAGGAACTTGATCTGTGTTCATTATTGTACTAGAATATAGCAAGTGCTCAATAAATATGCCAAAGAGTAAACGAATACACAGATATGCAATTTACATACAGATGGCACCTACCAATATTTATTTGAGTAACATAGCTTTTTCCCTTAAAGTTATTTTTCAAAGTGACGTCAGTAAAAAAAAAAAAAAAAAAAAGTTTTTGAAGTCTTACAGTATAGAGGAACTATTACTTAGTCTGTCAGGTCCGAGAGAGAGAGAGAGAGAGAGAGAGAGAGAGAGAGAGAGAAAGTGTGTGTGTGTGTGTGTGTCCTCCAATAACAAGGGAAGGTTACAGCTAGACAGGACTTTAGGAAGAATGATGCTGGGGCCTCTCCCTCATCTGAAGTTCAGAGGAGCAGTTTGAAAAGAATAAACATTATGGACCTCAGTGATCAAGGAATAATGGCAGCAGTTAGCATTTACTGAGTAGTGATCATGAGCCAGACACTGTGCTTAGCGCTCTACATGTTCAAAAGGCACGACCTATATCTTGAGGGCTGGGAAGAATTAAATTTATGCAAAGGAGGTTCATCATTCCAGAGCAGAATAATGTAGAAAGTAAACACCAGAGGTGACAGTATGCAAGGTGTATCTGGGAGGCTGCGAGGAAGCCAATCTGATTATAGTATAGACCGAGAACTAAGACACAGTAGGAGGAGATGATGGAAAGGCAGAGGGGGCCAGATTACCAAACCCTGAATACCAAGCCTTGTAGTACAGCCTTTATCCTGGAGCCAAAAGGAGTCATGGGAAGTGACTGACAAGGCAAAAAATATTTTATAGCAGAAGTTTAAACAGTGTATGTGTTAGACTCAGACCCTCAGGTGTGTTTGTTTCACCTGTAGTGTTTGATAAAGCTTAAAACCTTTGGACAAAGCATGGGAACCTTCCCCTTATCACTACAAGTAAGTCATTTCATTTACTTTTGTTACTCGAATGGCCCCTTTGGTTATCAGTTTGAGACCCCAAATTTATACAGCGCTAACATAAGACCATTTGGAGGGGGAGAATATGATACGAGGGATGGAAAAACTTTATGTAGCTGCTGCAAAAGTCCAGGAAGAGGCTGTCAGGATGCAAATTAACAGAATGATTAAAATGGAAAACAAAAGGAGCTGGGTGCAAGAGACACGACAATCCAGAGGAGGATGAATTAATGAGAACACTTAGAGGGCAGGCTGGAAAAGAAAGGCGCAGATGAGACCATCTGCCACAAAGAAAAGTTAAGTAATCTGTGCATCATCCTTTAGGGGCTCTTCAGACACTTAGATGAATGTGGGTCAACTATTTTCCACGAACCCTCTTCTGTTATTGGACGACTGCTTTTCCTCTATTGTAAAGAGAAGCTGGACGCCTGCTCCCCTCAAAAGAGCCATTCTGGGCAGAACAGCCATGATTATCATCTCTAAGACCCTCCTTTGTCTGAGATCCATAACAGATACCCAATGATTTCATAAAATACTACTGCTTAGTCCTGGCCGCCCACCTCAACTGGGCAAGGGTATCCCAGGGTGACTAGTCTTAATGTAACTTAACTTCCCTGACCCCGGTGATCTAGACAGGGATGAAGACCCCAAAGAAGAACCTCAATTAGATAGCTTCTTTGATTTTGGGATGTCATCTTTCTCTCCATCAGAAAGTTCTAGGTTATATCCTCCCCTATTTTTTGTTCTGTGAAACAGGTAGACTTGAGATATTTAAGTAAATGTTGTCAATTTAGACTGGAGACTGGGAACCTATTTTGCCACTTTCAGATGCAAAGCTTTCTAAAGAACCAACCCACAGCAGCTACTTCCTCAGCTATTACATTGTGAATTAAATCTAAAAATTAAAATTATTGGAATATGAAGCATTTAATATAGTTTTCTGAACACATGACATCTCTGCAAATAGATTACACAGGTATATGTAAATAAAGAACACGGTTTATCACAAAGAACTTATATGCATATATGCACAATCAATGGACACAGACATTAGGGTGGGGAAAGCAGGAGGGGGTGGGAATGGGGAAGAGGGGGGTCAGTGGGGAAAAAAGGGGACATCCATAATACTTTCAACAATAAAAAAAGAATTAAAAAAAGAAAGAAAATAGCTTATTTCCATATGGCATATCACTTAAAATCTGCTTGCAGAGTTGTGACTATGATTACTTTAAAAGTTAATAGATCAATTTTTAGTAAAATTTACCCAATTCAGACAACAAAACAACTCCTACAGCTTCACCCATGTGACTGTTTATTATAAGCTTAAAGGACTTTTTTTTTTTTTTTTATCCTCACCCGAGGACATTTTTCCATTTTTTGTACAGATAGAGTGGGAGGGAGAGAGAGGAAGAGAGAGAGAGAGGGAAACATCGATGTGAAAGGGACACATCGAGTGGCTGCCACCCGCACGACCAACCAGGGCCGGGGACAAACTGCTACCGAGGTACGTGCCCTTAGCGGAAATCGAACCCGGGTCTCTCAGGACCGCAGGCCAATGCTCTAACCGCTGAGCCAAACCGGCCAGGGCAAGCTTAAAGGACTTTAATCAGCAGAATGAGGCTGGACCATCGTGCGCCTTGAATTTGTACAGCATATCTCTTCTCGCCCACTGTGATGCTGGGAACAGCTAAGAGTTAAAAAGAAGGTAATGCAACCCCTCCAGGCTCCAGAACCAAGCAAGTCAATGATTGATCAGCATTACCAGGGTGCCCCCTAAAGGAGGTGTGGATGCTGACAGTAAAATAAAGTGTGGGTACTGCGATAACACTTATTCTTTTCCCCCAAACCAAGTACTCAAATTCAGCAAACAGCTAAGACCCGGAGTCAGAGAACTGAGCCTGCAGCTTTCATACGTGCTGTGCCCTTTTCTAAATTTTTGTTTGTTTGTTTTTCTAATCCTCACCCCAGGATACGTTTTTATTGATTTTAGAGAGAGAAGGAGGGAGAGAGAAAAACAGGAACATCAATGTGAGAGAGAAGCATCAACTGGTTGCCTCCCGTACGTGCCCAGACCAGGGATAGAACCGCATCCTTTTGATGTGTGGGACGATGCTCCAAGCAACGGAGCCCCCGGCCAGGGCCCTATCTAAATTTCTAATCATTACATCTGGAATGTGGTGGTGCTCACACAGAAGTCACACAAAATTACTGCGAGAATAAGTGAGTGAATTTCTGTAACTTGCTGACACGGCACACGTGATAAACTTTAAAAGAAAAACATTTATGAAATGAGCATGCATGTTTCTGATTTTTTTAACAGCAGCGGTGATGACACCTCTGGTGACAGTGAGCCAGGCTCCTGCACTAAGAACAGCAGCTGCTGGTGGTTATCGAAGCCAAGTCCATCTGAAGCAGAAGTGGCAAGAAATTGAAAGCAGAGAGACAGGAAAACGGGGAAAAACTGGTAAAGTAAGAACATACCACTGAGGGCTGTCATAGACACAGGGGTAGAGAGAGTGACGGGCAGTCAGGAATCTGTAGGGCGAGTCACTGATGGGAGAAATGAGGTTTGGGAGGGGGAACAGAGACCTGCCTGGGGCGGGACGGACAGCACAGCCCGGGGAGGAAGGCAGGCTTACGAGCCACAGTGGTTCCTGGGGGCATGAAAAATGCTGTTCATGAGGATACTCGGTTACTTGGAAGTTATGTCCTGTATCCTGCATTCACAAAAGTATGAAGTTTCAAAAACGATGCCAGTGAAATTAGCGAAATGAGCCAGCAGAGACCCACCCACCCCAGGCCAGGAACTTCATCGGAATCCTCACTGTGTCCTCAGCACCTGACACATGGAAAAGCCTTCAAGAAGGATCTTTTGTTTCCTGCACTTTAAAAATTTATATTATCAAACAAAGGAGAATGGCCATCTTGATCTCTTCTTGTTTTGTTTTGTTTTATTTTGATTAGCCTCATTACTGTTTAGAGAAACTTTAAAACTTTGATTTATATTTGTCTTAGTCAAGCAGTAAGTACTGTTTGTGCAAATCTAGAGCTTATAAATTAATCCTGTCAGAAAGAGAACATATACAGCATCCAATTTAAGGGCTTAAAAATCCATCCAGTGCCTCCTAGTCTTACTGTATTTAAAATCTTCCCTTCATTCTGTTATATTGTTTCCAAGAATTTAAAAAAATATATATTAAGAAGAGGAAGAAACAGGGAGGATATATTCTATTTTGTCTTCTAGATGTATGAGAAGATAAATGAGATTTCCTTATAAGGAAGTGACTAATCTCATCTTGATCATCACTCCTAGGACTGCCAAGTAAAAGACACTGGGAACATAAAAAACGGTGTTCGTAATGCTCCTATCTGGGGACACACAGTGTAACTTCCCGAAGCATAAGCATCATGATTGAAATAAATAAAACTCCTAGTAATTAAAAGTTTATGTTAATTTTTTCCCTCATGTTTGAAACCAGGGGAACTGTATAAAAACCAGGCAACATTGAGCATATCTATACTTTTACAATGTCAATTTACTTTTAATAGTACTTATATCAAATGTCAGATTTACCTCTGCAATCTCTATCCTTTTTGCAAGATCATCCAGAGAAACACAGCTGTCATCGGAAGACAGGTTCTCCTGTAGACTGTAAGATGCTTCGTCCGGGGAGAGATCTTGAAGGAGATCAGAATCTTCCTCGTCATATGAAGGGGAATCTTCAGTATCTCTTAAGCATCCTTCTAAAAGGCTGTTCAAATAGTCTTCTGCTTCCTTACTGATTTGGTCGTCCGGTCCTCCCTTTTCCTCTGGGGCCATACACACCTCTGAACGCCCCGTACTTAAGTCAGACACATTAGAGTTCTCACAAAGTGCATCCTCGGAGGCAGCCTGGCCCTGTGGTGATTTTCCATCACTGCCTGTGATAGCTGGTTGCTGCAGCTCGTTTAATTCACTGTGCTCAAGTCGGTCTGTGGGCAACGCCTCAGAAGCATCTCGAAGAGGCAACTGGAGTTCCTTTCTTTGAGTCTGTGTACATTCATCCTCAGAACACAAGGCAGGAGGCGTATGGTCAGAGCCCGGAGCAACCAATGGCTCTGTCACCGACGCGCTGGAAAGCAGCCCCTCGGGGTCTTCCCCAGTGCCCTCTATTTCGGCCACCGCGTGGCAGGACTCTGTTGGAGCTTGTTGCAAGCGGCTGCCATCCTCACAAGCCTTCTCGGAAGAGTGTGGCCCAGACCTGCCCCCCGCTGTGTCGGAGGGCTGGGCCTGCAGCTCCCGTGTGGCCTCAGCCCTGCGGAGTGGCTCCTCTGTGTGGTCCTTGCCTGCAGTGACAGGAAGGCTCGGGGGATCGGCCTGCCTGGCCATCTGACGACCGCAGGGACTGCTCTCCTGGGTCTCTTCTTTCTCTCTACCTGGTTCCATGCCAGGGCAAGTTTCACTCTCTGAAGAGGAAGAAAAACAAGGTGTTTTAACATTCAGAACAACACTTTGCAGAGGAGGGAAGAAAAAGGACATATAAATAACGTGTGTGACACACAATACTGTAACCCTCGGAAAGGATGTATTATTTCCTCTAGCTTCCCATTACAATCCAACACACTTTGGGACAATTCACCATTCAAATGTTTATCTTACTATGGCTTTGTAAATATTATTCACACCGACCCACAGTGCCTACTATGAGACATTTCTCTTCCTCATTTACACGTTATTTTGCTTGGGGTTGATAAGTGGCTCATTACTTCATTAAAAAAATCTCTCCTGATGTCTTTCAACTCTGACAGATGTACAACTATGGCGTATGTACCAACAGGTAATCTATCAGTTTTCAGACCTATCCTTTGGAGCCCCTCACCTAAAGGTGCTCTCCAGGACGGCTGCACAGGTATTGTCCTGAAATGTCCTCCCCGGTGGTCCTAGGAATTCCCTCTGGCTCTATGTTGGGAACCTTGTTTTCTGAACCTCAGGTCTTCCTGTTTATTCTCTCTTCATGGAACATTCTCTAAGAAAAGGTACATGGCAGGTAACCTTTTTACGATTCTTCACATCTGAAAATCTTTTTTCCTTTACCTCTAAAACTTGGGTAAGGTTTTCTAGGTCAGAAATCATTCTCTCTCACAATTTTGGAGGCGCTTTATTCGGTGTAGCTTCTAGTAGGAATGTCAAGTTCCTTAACCATTCTGAACCAACCCCTCGGAACCTACATTTTCTTCCTGGAAGGTTGAGATTTTATTCTCCTTTAATTCTTCTGATTAATTATTTTTATATTGGCCATGACACTTTTAAATTTCCACTAATGTTTATTTAATTCTCTGAATGTTCCTTTTTGTAAAAAACAAACAAACAGTACCTTATCCTTGTTTTCATATATACAATATTTTTTCTAATCTTTGTGATAATATTCTTCATTAATGTTTAAAAAGTTTTCAACTGCTCTCTGCATTTCATTTCCTCTGAAATTCTTTTGGTTTGTCTATCTGACTTGGTCTCTGTCTTTTCTATTTGAGGTTTTCTTAAATGAAGCAACAAGCAGCTCTGTGGTTCCAGGAGAGCATTCTCCATTCGTTGGGACCCTTAACATGGTTTCTGGAGGTTTTATCTCCTAGACTAATGGCTAGTTTTCCAGAGAGGAAAACAAGAGATTTAGCTGCCAGTTTTAAATGCTCAATGCAGAAAGTAGGCTAAAGTCTCACTGCTCAGTCCACAAGATTTTCATTAAATCTTCATTTTCTATATAATAGTCCTTCCTTGGGTTGTGCCTGATCCTTGAGTCCACAACACATCTATTTCATGTTCTCTAAAAAACATAAACCTGCAGCCCCAGCAGGTATGACTCGGTTGGTTCAGCGTCATCCCACTGATTCCCCGTCAGTACCCATGCCTGGGTTGCGGGCTCCATCCCAAGTAGGGGTGGGGGGTGCACAGGAGGCAGCCAATTGATGTTTTTCTCATCAATGTTCCCCCCCGTCTAAAATCAATAGGAACATATTTAAAACAAACAAATAAATAACAACAAAAAACACAAACCTTCAGCCTCTTGCTTAATAGAGAGGAAATATTAAGGCCTCAGTGCTTCTTGAATAGTCTTTCAGCCCAATCTCCTGTTTCCAATCCAACCCTATGTCCTTGACCTTAGAGGTACCCTCTGTGCTTCTAATTCCCAAGCCTTTCCAGACAGGAACCGACATGTTCTCTGCAGACACACAGCATTCAGCTTTCTCTGGTGCGCTCAGCCGGTTTCCACCCATCCACCTGCTTTCCAACTTCCAAACACCCCTGGACGTCACACCTGCTGCTGTTTCCTTGACAGTTTGTCTCTGTGGGTTTCTGCCTTTTAAGAATCCCTTTCAGATGTTTTAATGGTGTTCCAGGAAAAAGTGGGGGTAAATGTTGGATCCACATGTTTGACCAAAAATATTTTCTGAATTTTCTGCAAGCACGTATTATAAGATAAAACTTATTCTTGTTAATGCTTCTATTAATATGAACACGAATTTCTGTTAATTGGCTCATTTGAACCCCCAAATCTAGTGAGGTAAGTTTGCTATCCCCTATTGCATTAATTTCACACATACTATAAAAGCACACACACAGCCCTGGCCAGTTTGGTTCAGTGGTTAGAGCGTTGGCCTGCGGTCCGGAGAGACCTGGGTTCGGTTCCCGCTAAGGGCACGTAACTCGGTTGCGGTTTGTCCCCGGCCCTGGTTGGGTTGTGCGGGTGGCAACCACTCGATGTGTCCCTTTCACGTTGATTTCTCTCTCTCTCTCTCTCTCTCTACCTCCCACTCTATCTGAACAAAATATTGAAAAATGTCCTTGGGCGAGGATAAAAAATAAGCACACACACAAACAAGCAAAAAACCTACTCTGATGAAATATAAAAGGAGTGAGAGCTGAGTGCATAGCAGATACTTAGTGAACAATGAATTAAAGAGGTAGTTCTAAGATGAGAAGCTAGCCTTAACCTAAGTTCCTACACATGCTCTAGAGCAGCGGTTCTCAACCTGTGGGTCGCGGCCCCTTTAGGGGTCGAACAACCCTTTCACAGGGGTCGCTTAAGACATAACAGTAGCAAAATTATAGTTATGAAGTAGCAACAAAAATAATTTTGTGGTTGGGGGTCACCACAACATGAGGAACTGTATTTTTTAATTTTCTGTTTTCATTTTTTTATCCTCACCCAAGGACATTTTTCCATGTTTTGTTCAGATAGAGTGGGAGGGAGAGAGGGAGGGAGGGAGGGAGAAAGGGGGAGAGAGAGAGAAACATCGGTGTGAAAGGGACACATTGAGTGGTCACCACTCGCACGACCAACCAGGGACGAGGACAAACTGCAACCGAGGTACATGCCCTTAGTGGGAACCGAACCCAGGTCTCTCCAGACCACAGGCTGATGCTCCAACCGTTGAGCCAAACCGGCCAGGGCGAGGAACTGTATTAAAGCGCCGTGGCATTAGGAAGGTTGAGAACCACTGCTCTAGAGAAAAGTACATGCCTCTGAGTTCTTCTTTCACAGCCTATTCCCCCCAAGTTCTCTTTAGGAAAAATCCTCCCACATTTCATGATATGGGATTAACGCATTTATGAATTAACATTTATTTCTTATACTTTCTGAATGTCATTAATTAATATTATGTACGAACATTTGAGTGGTATCAGGCTTGGAGAAGGGAATTTTCACAGTAAATATTTATTTTAGAGTAAGAAACATACTTAAACTAAGTCTGAATTGTTGATAATAGTATAAATTAACATTATCTTCTACAGAGGTTAATTAAAAATTAAAAATGTACATACCCAGTCATCAGGGGAAAGCAAGTTAAAACCACAATAACATACCATTTCATATGTGTTAAAATGATTAAAATATAAAAGACTGACAACTTTAAATGTCAGCAAGGATGTGGAACAACTGAAATTCTCATATGTTCCTGGTGGGGTACAGAACGGTACAACCACACTGAAGAACTGTTTGGCAATTTCTTACAAAGTTAAACACGTACCTTCCCTAGGACCCAGCAATTTCACCCTCAATTATTTACCTAGAGAAATAAAAACATATATCCACAAAGTGACTTCCTAGCAGGTGTATTCATAATATCCCCAAATTGGAAAGAATCCAAATGTCTATCAACAAGTGAATGGATAAACGGATTGTGATACAGTACCAAAAAAGAATACTATTCAGCAATGAAAAGGAATGAACTAATGACACATACAATAATATGGGTTATGGGTGACTATCAAAAACATATTGAGTAATCTTATTTATATTAAATTCTAAAACAGGGAAAAGTCATCTGTGACAGAAAAGCACCGGGTTGCCTGGGTTGGAGGTGGGAGGGGCTGGCTTAAAGGGGTGAATGTGCATGTTTGTATCGTCACTGGGGTAGTGGTTACATGAGTGTAAACATTTGTCAAAACTCATCAAATTGCACACTTAAAATAGGTACATTTTACTGCATGGAAATTGTATGTCAATAAAGTTGGTAAGACATGGGAAAGAAATATAAAACTCAGGATAATGGTTACTTCAGGGGTGGGGTGGAAGCAGGGGACACAAAGGTAGCTATAACAGAACTGACAATAGTTAGTCCTTAGTTGAGTATTAGGTTCATGGGCTTCAGTTGATCATTTCTTATAATGTATGTAACATGTTATTTCTACATATAAAATGTTACTTAAAAATAAATGAAAATATAAGCGAATAAAAATGTATGTACTTTAGGGTCAGAAAACTAGGGTTTGGCTTTGAGCTCTAGTTAGTTCTGTTCCTGCACAAGTTACTTAGCTTCTTTGAGTTTCTTCAAATAATTCAGCAAAAATTATAATGGTTGTTAAGAGGAACAGAAGAAATAATATACATAAAATTATTCTGAAAATACAAAATACTATGTAAGTTACTTGAAGACTTCAATAATGGGAGGTTAATTAGAAAAGTAGCAATGAATGATATGTAGAGAGCATGGACAGAATGCTAGTAGTAGGGGGTAGTAATACATGAGGAAGAAGAGAAGTAATGAGAGCGATGAGAATATATTGAGTTCTTACCTTGATCCTGGTACTGTTCTAAACTCTCAACATGACATTATTAATTTAACCCTCACAAGAATCCTAAGTGTTAAGTACAATTAATTTTGGAGCTGTGGAAAGGGAGGCTCAGAGAAGTAAGGCAACTTGCCTAAGATCACACAGCTTTAAGTGTGGAGACAGAATTCAAACCAGGTAAGTTTGGCTCCACAAACAGTCTGTAACCACCACACAAAAAATAGCAAGTTACATATTATATAAGAAGCTTAGGATCAAGGAATATAGACAGAAAGAGAAGAGAAAGGAAAGTCTAGATTGTACTACATGTCTTACACTATTAGAAATGAGGACTATGAATTAAAACAAGAATAATGTATTAAATTCAAATCATTAAAAATAATATTTTCATATTTCTTTTTTTCTTGTTCTTACATTTCTATGTATTTATTCACAGAATAACGAAACTGAGGAGACTAATTCTGGGAGAGTTGACATTTTTCTTTAAAAGATATCGTTTTATCAGACTTGGCAAGATTTCTTGCCCTAGGAGTTAGCCCACACCCTCCCCAAAAGATGGTTATTAGTGAGATGTCTGCATCATGGAACTCTTTGATAATCCACACAACTCACACAACTCACTTAGACGCATGCTGCATTTGACTTAGAAACCAGAAGACCCAGGTTCTAGTAGTGAATCAAAGGGTCAAACTAGTGACTTATATGTGGTGTCTCAGTTTTCCCACCTGTAACACATCTCACAGGACAGGCCAAGCTGCGAGCAGGGCCAAGCTAGTGCTGGGCAAGCAACCAGGAGTAAGTGTCCAATTTAATCAATCAGCACATGGTAGCACTCTTCCCAATGTGCACGACAGAGACACACCCACGCCAAACTAGCGGCCACTTTGTGACTCTCTTCCTCTCTGAGATTTTTATGAAGCTCATTTTACTCTGATTTTCAATATAAAAATGACTGGAACAGAAGAGATGAGAAGAACAGAATACAGTAGGATTGACCTAAGGCAATATCCTAAATTTATTTGCCTCATAAAAATAAAGGAGATAAAGTGAGATTTAGGGGCTATAAAAGGACTTTATAAGGAGAAAAAGGAGAATTAAACTACAGACATCACCATCATCATTTTACCTCTCAGGCAACTCAGTCAAAACACCTGATGCTGCTCGTTTAATATTAGGGCTCAGGAACATAAATCCCAGGAATATAAATTAGCACTAAAATCATACATTGGAAAAACAAACACCCTAAAATGTTTTCATTTATCTTTATTTTCTAAAGTTTTTATAATGAACATACAATACTAATGTAAAAAATAGTTTCTAAAAATCTTTAACTTTTGACATAAGACACAAAGTGATACAAAATATATCGTGCTTTAGAAATATATATATATGTGCAAATTAAAGTACAGCATATGTTAGTCAACATAAGGAAAGAGAATCAATTGCTATGGCCAATTATCAAAATATGGAGCTTTTAAATAGTTAGATATACAGAACAAATTTCTGGTCAAGTCCATATAATAATTGTTGGTTTTTAAACAGAAAAGAATGTCTGAATACACCAAAATCAATTCTGTTTCAGAGCATTTTTGTACAGTCTTGTTATACTGTGCTAGATACATACAGCCACCTGCTGAAAACATAGAAGTAACTTTGCTTTCATAAGAATTTAGATTTTATCGTTTCTACTGCTAGATATCTAAAAATAGAGTTACATAATATGAAAGAATCTCACTTTGCTATTTGTCTAGTAAAAGTATGTGCAAAAAAAGTACACACAGCGTTTCAGATTAACAGCAATTCAGATGTAACGCTTGGAAAATATTACGAGAGAGAGGGGTCTCTTTCAGTCCTCTCTAACTTCAAAACATACCCGGCTCTTTGGCTGTGGCTCCACTTTCCTTTGGATCTTCAGACGCTGTTACCTTCCTTCCCAGGGACTTTTCTACAGCTGCTGTCTGGAGTTAAATACAAAACAAAACAAAACAAACTTTTGGGGAAACTCTCGCATTAAAATAGAAAGGTGAAAATAATTTGAGAAAGGTATAGTTCTAAAAGAATTTATACTATAGACATATGACATAACATTTTTCCTGTAAATTCTTTTAAAGAAACAATCCCTTACCTTATGTTTGGATAAAAGAGGGCTGTAGAAAAAGAGAGAGGAAAAAAAATTACAAAAAAAATTACAGCTTCTCAAGATTCTAATATTAGCATAGAATATTTCCACTGCTGAAACATTACCACTGGTTCACACAGTTCAAAGTGCAGCTGTATCATGTGTTAAGCTCCTCAGACAGCTAATTACTACTGAAAACTCCCAAATAAACTACAAATGCTAAGATCCAGAAAAAAAAAAAAAAAGAATGCTATTCTTTTGCTAATAATGTATATAAAGAGTATTTCACACACATGTATTTTTAAAATTTTGGTTTGTCATTATAATCTAAAATAGACTATGGTAGAAGATAATTGTATTGGCTTATCTGTGAAAATAGATAAAAAAGTTATTTAAACATATTGTATTTTAGGGACTACGCAGTTTAACAGAATGTATATATCCACCAAACGGCATACACTATAATGTTCCTAGCCATTTTATTCATAATATTCAGAAACTGTAAATAATCCAAATGTCTATTAAGACTAGTATGAGTAAATTAATTGCTACAGTCATATAATGAATGCACAGAGGAATAAAACAGAACAAATTACCATTACACACAATAACATGTAATACACACATAATGATGGGCAAAAGAAGCTAAATACAAAAATCTACCTTCTGAGTGATTACATGTATATGAAGTTACAGAACAGACAAACACACTGTTATTGAACCTAGACAGTGGTTACTTTGGTGGGTTGGGTACTGACTTGGTACGTGCACGAGGGAGCTTTCTGAGGCGCTGGGCTGTTCTGTATGTACCTTGGTTAGAGTGGTTGTGATGCAGACACATATGTCTATGTAAATGTTCATCAAGCTTGTGTACTTTAATGTCTGTATAACTCAAAAATACTTTTTCTATTACACGTTTAAGAGTAATAATTTGGGGTAAGTACACAAATTTAAAGCATAAAATGCTCAGATTATGCTCAATAAATATTTATTTTTAAATAATAAAAACACTTGTAACACATTAAAAAGTATTAATTCCACAGGAAGGGCAGGAAAAGTGTCTGTACTGAATATATTTTCAAGGTAAATAAAAAAAACCTTTATCTATTTTTTAAAATTCCATTATTTTAAACTCTATGAAGTTAAAAGTTAACATATTTCACAGACTAATAAATTAGGTTGCAAGGCAAAATCCTAAAAATTCTGTTTCAAAGGATGAAAATGACTAACACAAGAAAACAGTCATCAGGACAGTGGAATAAGTTATCACTTCTGAATCTAGACTCATTCTTCCAAGGCTGGTCTCAGATCCCAGAGCCATTCTCTCTACCTGCCGCATGCGCTAAGCAACAATACTTGTGTCTGTTTCATCGTTAACAGAGTTCTAAGAAATCTTTGTGACTCTGAGGAAAAAGGAGAAAAAATTATCAACAGAATAGACTTTCAGCCTTTGTGCTGAGCACTTATGTTTTACATCAAGATCTGCACCAGTTTTACCATTAGTATGCCCCTCACCTTCAGAATTCTAGAACTTGAAATACAAATTAAAAAAATATTTAAGTGTTTTATTATTACTATAATTTAGTTTTAAAGATCCAATTCTTTGATAAAAATCAAGCAATTTAAAATTACCCGGTAAATGTAATTTTCCTTCTGCAGTATTTTGGTTGGATACTGCACTGTATTTACTTTTCATTATTAGATCACTCTTTAAAATGTGTTTTTTACAAGCACTGGCAAACAACTATAATAAAAAGTCCTAATACGTCACTTTTTTCATCTGAAGTTTCTAATCTCTTAACTAGAGATCAAAATTAGAAGTTATATTTAAAATTTTCTAATTAAAAGGTACTTTGAACCTATATAAAGTTGAACTTTTCTAATCTTAGTGTAAGAAACAGAAAAACACTGAGAAAGGAACCTAATCATTTTATCTGGTTTAACTTCTCTAGTTGAGAATGTTAACAAAACAAATAAAGAAATAGATATTGTATTTCAAATATTCACTGTTACAATGGTTCTTCAATATTCTAGTCCAAGTTCATTCTAATCAAATACTGAAATACTTACTCTTGATGTGTTGTGCAAAATTTAGTAAGCCGTTCAAAATCTTCACCATCAAAGCCCTTTTCTGAATTCCTTAGAGACGTAACTGTATGTGGTTGTACAGTTTTCCATTTTGTTTCTAAATTTAAAATATTTGTCAGTTACTATTACAAATCATATTCAGGAAGGAGGAAATCATTAACTGGCACCACTGATAAAGATTAGCATGCAAAATTATCTTCTCCAATTACCCAAAAGTTAACATAGTTAGAAACAGCTAAGTGATTACTTTTCAATGTAAGTAAATATCTCTGAAACTAAATTAGCCAGTAGGGCATGCAAAGGGATCAGAAGAACAAAACACAAAGAGAGATTTTCTCACAATGACATATACTTGTGGTAAAAATGCTACTTTCTTTGCAACATTAACTAGACAGTAGAAACATTTATTTCCATCTTTACAAAACCCAGTCAAATATGTTAACTTTTTAGATAACAACTTGTAACATTACTGGTAATTCCACATTCCATGATAATCTGGACTCACCCCATTGTTCTTGGATGGCAGAAAGATTTGCGAGCAGCTGCTCATGATACAGTCGTTCAAGCTGAATGAATTTCATTGCTTTCTCATCTGAACAGAAAATTTGAGGAAAACAGAAATCCAGACTATGTACATTTAGTCCCACAGCTGAAGAATAATGTCCTATATACACTGAGAAATTTGAAGCTTACCAGAAAATGAGGACTCCAAATATTTTAAATCTAAACAAATCTTAAGTAGAGTTTCCTGGTTTTGAAGTAGGTACATCTTAATTTAACATATTGTGTAATAGCTACATGGGTTCCATTCTATAAGCAAACAGTAGAAACTAAAAGAAAAATTTAATGCTCAAGGAATGCCTGTTTGCTACTGTATCTCTGGCAGTTAAACGGACTTTAATTGGAAAGAGGACATTCACAGAATCCTGGAATCGAAATGTTTTCCTTTTTTCTCTCTTTAAATTAATTTCTGTGAAGCATCTGTTACCCTCTTGTCAACCTGTTGCTGATTTCCGCTCACCTCGATCCTTTACTTATTTCTCACTGAATGCTTTTCTCCCACTAAACCAAAGGGTTACATGCCTAAACAAGGACAGAGCCAAACATCAGATGGATACTTTGTAAAATTTTAATTAACTTGCCACAGTAATTTTCATAATTATGTGAAATTTTGTAGATTTTCTTATAAACTTCTGCCATCTCCATCTGTATCACACATTTAGCACCATATGAGGTTGTGATAAATTGCCCAACTGTCTACCTTCCTTTGGGCCATGTTCTAAATGCTGACCCAGAAAGAAGGAAGAGAAAAACTCACTGTTTAGCTTTTTGTCCTTCTCAAGATCACTCAGAGGTTCAGTTTTCTCTTTCATTTGTAATCTTAAAAATACGGCAGGGGTTATAAAATAGGCCACGGAGAAGCAGGGACAATTAATTCCAATTTCCTCTGCCCATGACTTAAAAGTATATGGATGTTTCTTACTTAACTGAACATAATCTGAAAAATTTTATAAAATATAGATTCATGGTTCTGATCTCCAGAAATTTTGATTCCAAGGGCCATGAATTTGCATTTCTAAGAAGCTCTGAGATGTTGATGCTGGTCAGCACTGCACTACATCATACTGTCCTTCAGTTAAAAAAAAAAAGTGCCCAGCTGAAGTGACTCAGTGGTTTAGCATTGACCCATGCACCAAAGAAGTCGCCTGATCCCCAGTGGTGGTCATCCAGGAGGCGGCCAATCAATGTTCTCCCTCACTGATGTTTCTCTCCCTTCCTCTCTCTCTAAAATCAATAAAGGGGCGGGGGGGGGGGGCATTCTAGCTTCATTTCCACCACAATTGGATTTTTCTACACACTTGGTAATAAAGTATCACTGTGTGAAAGTGTTACCAGCTTGCTCAATAGAATTCCCTCAGTCTCCTCAGTCTGCATGATTACATGGTAAAAGTCAACAAGGTTAGGAGAGAAAAAAACTCACACAAATGGCAAACCACATGTTCATGATACAATCTTGCTAGAGAGTATATATTGGGCCATCCCTCAAAAAGAATGGTAATTTTTACAAAGGGAAACTGAAAAACGGAGGGAAGACTCTTTCTTATACAAAAGTTAACATATAGTCTTACTTGACAACATTTTGTCTGTTTATCACGAGTGACAGATTCAGTCTTCCCTTTGCAGACAGATGTAAGACAATCCCAGATCCACTACGTACAATACGCTCGACAGGCTCTACCATATGGATATTAGTTGTCCTGAACTTCTGCTTAATTCAAAAGGAAGGAAATCCAATGGAATTTAAAATTATATTTTTCAGCAGTGTGCTTCCTCTCCACCTCTTAAACACACAAATATTTAGATTCTAGTAAAATTAGGGCTCATTTACTGAGTTAGTTCTAGAGAATTTCCTGGAGTGACAAATTCCCAACATCTTGCTTTCTGAGGTGATTACATGGATGCATGCAATTGTTAAAACCCACAGAAGATGACAGATCTATACATTTCACTGTATGTAAATCTCAATTTTTAAAAACTGAATTTCTTCCTATAATTAAGAAAAGGATACAATCCTCTTCCTGGAAATAGGATTCTGCTATCTGTTACAAATAAACAAAAAACAAGAAATTAATATTTGAATGAAAAGCCAAATAGACCTTGAAACTCTGCAAGTCTTTAATATCAGATTAAGAAAACCATTTAACTATATTTACCAGTTCAGAAGAAATCTGACTGTAGGCGTAGCACATTACTGAAGTCCCTTATATCAAGCAAAGCAAACGGCATTCTTTGGACTTTATATAACCCCATTCTTCCCATTCTATTTCAAGTCAAAGCAAACTTCATTGATTCATTAGCGTTTAGAAGGACTCTAAAGAACGAGGAAAATACTACAGAGGCTTATAAAAATATAACATGAGTAAGATAATGACTTTGTTTATTGTCAATTAAAAAGTTAATACATGTCACATCACAGGAGACCTTAAATTTAACTCCAGTCATTTTATTTCTATTTCACAAACTACCTCATGGGACACTGACATTTGGTTCTGTTTTGATATTACAGAAAAGTCTAGGCCATGTGCTAAGAGTCGAGCAATGATTTTTGGAATCTATACACAGTGCTGCACAGTATAAAGGGCACTGCATGGAGGGTCGAGAGAGTCAGGATCTGCTCCCAGCTGAGGCTTATCAGTAGATTCATTCTAAGGCACCTTTAAATTTAAAAATTCTTTGATTCTAAAAACTTTAAGATCTTTTATTTAGAACTTTATTTATAAATAGAAGCATAAAACACAAAACATTTTTTGAGAAGTATCTGCATAAACTGTTGTCATATTTAGAACATTGCATATAAGTACTTTATACTTTTAAAACATGTGCCATGCTCTGGCCAGTATGGTTTAGCGGTTGGAGAGTCGGCTTGCGGTCTGGAGAGACCCAGGTTCGGTTCCTGCTAAGGGCTCGTACCTCGGTTGCATTTTGTCCCCGGCCCCAGTTGGGGTTGTGTGGGTGGTGACCACTCGATGTGTCTCTCTCACATCGATGTTTCTCTCTCTCTCTTCCTCCCTCTCTCCCTCTCGCTCTATGAATGCCAAAAGTGTCCTCAGGTGAGGATTAAAAAAAATAATAATAATAATCATAAAACAGGGTGCCACTTATAGATGAGTATCTCCATCTTCCAGGTAGCTGCCAATGCGAAGAGCAAGAAGCTATTTGTCAAACCTACAAACCAGCAATGAAAATAAGTGGCTTTTCCAAATTGCACAGTGGAAACAGTGTACCTTTAAAGGAAAATATAAGCCGAACTTAAAATTTACTCTATAGATACAACACTTTTCCGTGAGCAATCCAGATGCAACCTTTCTGAAAAATTTTAATTTAATCTAAAGTTCGATTCCATACTTAATTTCTACGCTTAGGACTTTACAAAGGATCAATTGATTTTCAAGATTCTGCTTGTCTTTGATCAGCTCATTGTTTTAATATTATGTTATTACAGTGCTAGTTTGAACCAAATCAAATTGTCATTATTCAACCATTTTTTTCCCCTACAAAATGAGAATTCCATACACTGCAAACAAATGTTTAATAATCGGCTGTGGAGTGTTGGGGAGAGCCCTGATTTGTAGTGTTTGCTCATTTCTGTGATGTCAATACTGCCATCATGGCTGATTTCAAGCTACTAACATGATGGATGTCACTGAATACAGTTTCATGGGCTAGTATATTAGCAAGCTCCAGCACACCACTGGGTTACACCTAACAGAGATCAGTGACAACATTTTATCTACAAACTTACAATGAAAAATCTATGGCATGATGTAGAGTTCTCCACCATACATGACATGAGATATAGTTTTAGTTTGTCCATCAAGATTAATTTCTGGCTCTTCAAAGCTAGTCTCTTGGCCTTTTTGTGTTTCTGCATCATGAGTGTAGTTATTTATAAAGAGTTCTTATTTAAGAAGTATTAATGGAGTCCATACCTATTCTGAACTAAATTTTATGACACTATACATTTCAATTAGCTTTCAGGTTTCTGTGGCAGTTCCAATACCATAAAAGCAACCATAAAGACAGATCAAAGCCTCAAAAGCAAAAAGCATTTCCGGGTGAAAGGCCAGCCTGAAAAATATACAGGGTGTTTCTCCTATGAAAACCTAACCCTGCCAAGCCTAGCAGGGCAAGAGAAGATGTGACTTTCTTTGCTGTTCACGTGTCTGAGTCCGGGAGGCAGCATGGCAGAGCAGAAAGAGGCGGGGCTTGCAGGTGAACAACGCAACTGCACTGTAGTCCAGCGCTGTCATTACCAGCTGTGACCTTGGATGTGTCATTTCACGCCTCAAGCATAAGCTTCCTCACCTGTAAAATAGGGACAAAAATACCTACAACTCTATGAGACAAAGCTGCTGTAAGGATTGAGAATGTGTCTTTAGCACAGTGCTTAGCACACTGCAACACGTGCCTAATGTTATTTATGAATCTGAGTCTAAACCAGAAGTACAGGATGCAGGATGGAATCATGTGAAGAGGGAAGTTGAAAATCACTTTGGGAGGGTAATAGTTTTACGATATCCTGGTTTCAGGCTTCTTTTACCTACCAGGAAGAAAAAAGGGAAGTAAGAAGGTGTATCGTGTGGTCATAGCCTCACAGAGGGGCTTCAAGGATCCCAGTGGATACTTTTCCTGTCTGAGTCTGATGTTAGTTTCAGGAAAAGCTCACTGAACATAGACTACAGCACTGGATGTTCTTCTTCTGACTTCCAAGTTTGTGACTTCAGTTATACACTTAAAGCTAACCTGCAGACATATATATATATATATTTTATCCTCACCCGAGGACATTTTTCCATTTTTTGTTCAGATAGAGTGGGAGGGAGGGAGGGAGGAGGAGGAGGAAGAAGAGGAGGAGGAGGAGGAGGAGGAGGGGGGAGAAAGATCGATGTGAAAGGGACACATCGAGTGGCCACCACCCACACGACCAATCAGGGCCGGGGACAAACTGCAACCGAGGAACGCGCCCCTTAGCAGGAACCGAACCCGGGTCTCTCTGGACCGCAGGCTGATGCTCTAACCGCTGAGCCAGACCGGCCAGGGCATAACCTGCAGACATATTAAATAAGTTGGCATATGAAAGATTACTCATACCCGAGACAAGAATTTTTAAAAGGAGTCTTCAAGAGTTCCAAGAGCTAAATATACAAATATATATCTAAAGTAACGGTAGTCATATTTCCAGTGGCCCTTAGCACATATTCACCCATATAATATCACTTTTAAAAATAATAATTGTCCCCAAATGAACTCTCCCTCCCCAATTTCTACTAATGGGACTGCCGTCTCTCCAAACTGTACGTCCTAGAGTCGTCTGTGACCGCTCTCGGGCCCTTTCCTGCTATCTGCACCAAGTCCTAGTCATCCTGTCTTTGGAAGAGTTCAGATTCATCCCTCTTTTCCCACTGCCTTAACCTAGATGATTCTCTCACCTTATGCTTAAATAATAAATGTCTTCCTTTAGTTATTTCTATTAAAATTATGAATGCATACAGTTTAAGGAGTCAAATAGCTCTGGAGGGTGTGTTAAGAAAGCCCCAGCCCCTCTTACTGCACACCCCTTTCTTCAGAAGCAAGCACTTTGATTTCTTTTACCAGTTTGTTTGTTCTTAAATTCTGTATCTCTAAACATGATGCTTGCATTTGCTATTTCATAATTTCTCAGTTTTAGTAGAAGACGAGGATTGCGTCTGATTCTCCTCTACCCCGACCCCACAAACACATACTGTACACTTTTTCTCATACATACTCACACACCCAATTTTATTATATTGTAGTAATGGGCAGATAAATACTTCATGCTTACCTTATTATGAGCCAAACCACTATTATTTTTTCTTTCCTAAAAACCTTCTGTTTTTCCTGGAGTAACTTCTTTCCTTTTTTTTTTGTGCATAGTTTCCCATGCACTTCTCACTTGTATAACTCCAAACACTGAACCAAGAGCCTAAATCTTCTTTCAATATATTCAGATACATTAAGTATTCAGAAACAGTAAAATGATATAAAAGTTTCTCTTCAGATTCTTCTGATCTGCTCTGCCTAGGAATGATTATCATCTCCTTCTTAGTATATAGCTGTCGCCTTAGATTCTCTGTTCATCTGGAGATTCCCTTCATCTCTCTCCTGGGTAGCATCCCCAATTTCCTGTATCTCACATCTTCCTATTCCTTGTTTTACTCCCTTGTTTGGGTGGAGTACATCCTCTAGTGGCTTCCTGAGAAAGGGTAGGAGATACCAAAAGCCCTGTAGTAGGAACTTCCTTGGTATATCTAAGGAAGTACGAGGAGGCCAATGAACCTATAAAGGTGTGACTAAGAAGGAGAGTTTTAGAAAAGAAGGTCTAAAAGGTCTAACAGCCTGACCATGTAGGGTCTTGTAGGCCTCGTTAAGAATCCTGGCTTCCACTCTGAATGACATGGGAAGCCACTGGAGGGCCTTGAGCAGAGGAGTAACATGGTCTGATTTACATTTCATCTGGACCACAGTGGCTGCTGGGTAGAGGGAAAGAACTAAATAAAAGTAACAGTGAAAGCAGAGAGGTTTCCACAGTGAGGAGTTTACTGCAAGAATCCAGGTGAGACCAATGGAGTTGATAGCAGTGAAGGAGGTAAGAAGAGATCAGTTTCTGGCCCTGGTCAGTGTGGCTCAGTGGATAGAGTGTTGGCCTGTGCACCGAAGGGTTACGGGTTTGATTCCTAGTCAAAAGCATGTACCTGGGTTGCAGGTTCAGTCTGGTGTGTGGGGGAGACAACCAATTAGTTTTTTTTCTCTCTAAAAATCAATGGAAAAAATATCCTTCTATGAGAATGAACAACAACAACAAAAAGATCAGATTCTGGGCATATTTTGAAGTAGATCTGCAGGGCCTGCTGACCGGATTTGGATGTGGGGAAGAGTATTTCCATGGGAAATATGTGGGAGAAAGGCCAAAAGTTGGCAAAGTGTAAACAACTGGTGAGTCCAGGTGAGCGGCACAATGTGAGGTGCTGGGAATCACTGAAGTGAATCAAACATCGCTTCATTCCCCCTTGCTCTGTGTCCCGCTTGGGAGGTAGGACGATATTTGTATTCTTGGGCTGGGAGAATACATCAGCTGGCTTCTGTTGCCCTGATGTCTCAGTTTACTGCGAGTTTCAGGATGTCTTTGCTGATCCTCGGCCTTCATTTCTAATAAGCAATGTCTGAATTAGTGACAATGAGAACATAGTAATACTTAATATTTATTTGACTTTTACTGTGTTCCAAGCACTATATTAAATGCTTTTACATGCATTATCTCACTTACCCCTCTACAGCTTTCCAAAAGAAATTGAGAGCCACTTAGCTTGTCAGTGGTAGAGCCAAAGCTCAGACTTTTAAACCATCACTATATTTACTAAGCTCCTTTGCCAGGAGAGGACAGACTACTGAGATATATAAAAAGCCTACAGGATTCAGCAAACCCGTATGTTCCTGGGAAGCAAGGATAGAATTTTACTTTGAGATATTACAAATTAAATAGCTTCTCGTCTGATCATGATGGATACCATCTTCCTATCAAAAACATGATTGTCTACCACATCTGCTTCGGCTGCAGGATCACCTGCAAGTAGAAAATAGTATTCTTTTCACCTTTAATGTAACAACATCTCAGTGACATAAACTCCTTGAAAAGATCTGACAACACTTGTTATTTCCAACTTTACTCCAACTGCCCTTTCCCCCAACTTTTTACTGGAACTCTACAGAAGAGTTCAAAGAATAGTAAAATTAACAGCCATGTACCTTTCACCTAAATTTGTCAACTAATGACATTTTGCCAAATTTGCTTTCTGTGTCCTTCTCTCTTACGTATTTTTCCCCAATGACAAATCTTGAGTAAGTTGCTGGAATTATACAGTGCAATTCCTAAATACTTCACTCCTAAATATTTGCATCTGTATTTCCCAAGAACAAGGACCCTCTCCTACATATCCTGCAATTACATTATCAACCTCAAGAAATTAGATGTGATTCAACAATATTACTTAATAGCCCATATTCAAATTTCATTCAAGTTGTTATAAAAACAGATTCAATGAGTGGAATAAACCACTTCCAGCCCCAGAATAAGAAACTAGCATTGAAAGGGAGTCTGTTTCCTGATTTGTTAACAGGTAACACTACTACTTACCTCTCTAGGTTGTTCGGAGGATGAAGTAACAATAAGTTACCCTTTGCAAAGTCAATCTAGTGTACAAATACAAGGAAGGCTGGAATATTAGGAAGCTGCCTTGGTGTTGATGCTTCTCAACTACAGAAATTTAGAAGGTTTTAGAGGTCAAAAACAGCACCATTTTCTCAAAGGCATTCTTTAAGTCAGCAAAGGAGGTAATACAAATTTGTAAGAATATACATTTTCCTGCCTTGGGACAAAAGCTATTTTATATTTTACTTTTTAAAAATTACTCACTACTCATTGTGAAAGTTAAAATGAAACAGAGTAAATGAAAAAAGAAAAGCTTTTTCCATTTCCCTATACCAGTTACTGTCATTTTAAGGAAAAATAAAATACATCTCATAAATATGTTGTTGTTATTTTTTTTGTTAATCCTCACCTGAGGATATTTTTCCATTGATTTTTTTTTTTTTTTTGAGGGAGAGGGAGAAGGAGGGAGAGAGAGACATATCAATTGGTTGCTTTCTGACCGGGCTGGGAATCAAACCTGCAACCCAGGCACATGCCCTTGACCAGGAATAGAACCTGCAACCCTTTGGTCCATGGGTTGATGCTCTAACCACTGAGTCACACTGGCCAGGGCAACATGTTATTTTTATCTGAATTAGCTGTTGGTTAAGAGACCTTCCTCATTACTGTCCTAAAAGCCTCCCAATCTCCAGGTTCTTCATCTTTTAATTTACCTTCCCAGTCAGAAGAGTTATTTTTTTAAATTCAGATTTGATTCTGGCACTCCTATAATTAACACTCTCAGTCCCAAAAGGTAAGGCCTTGCTGTCCCCAGGTATCCAATCTCATCTTCCATCTCTTTTCCATGCTAATCTCCAACGATACCCAAGTTGTACCTTTGCACAGGCTAACTTCCCTTCCTGTACCATCTCACCTGGTTCTTTTAGTGAGTGCCTACACATCCTGCAAATCCCAGCCCAGGAGTCTTCTTTGTCCCTAATGGCTACAGAACAAAACTAATCATGCATTTTGTGCTTTCTGAACCTTAAACATGTCTACTCTAACACTAAACTCAGACTTCCACATAGCTGCTTCTCCTATTCCACAAGGGCTCTCTTAAGGATATACCTGTTTGGTAATCTTTGTTTTCCCAGTGTCTGGCATTGGTTTTGGTACCTAGTTGGCACTTACTAAGCACTTGCTACATTGCAAACAGCTTATTCATTAAATAAAAGAAGTTAGCAATTGTTTGCACTATAGATTGATTATCCAAGGCCACTGGTTATTTTCAAATTTCCCACCACCTACTTACCCAGGATCACCTTCCTCCGGTGCTAACCAATGACACATGGGGTAGAATCAGTTACGCAGGCCTGGATTTCAGATTACTGTAACACTGGCCCCAGAATTTTAGTAAGACTGAGAGCGAAGAGGTTAATGTAGTACCTGATGAAGGCAAAGGGGAAGTGCTCTTGAGTCCAACTGCTCAACTTCACCCCGTATAAGTGAGAACAGAGACTGCAAAGCCAGCTTCGGGGCTTCTGGCCGATCGTTAGCATTCACTTCAGTAGAGTCTTCATCACCAACAGCACATGTGGCTGCACTTAGTACATTTTCTTGCATTAAAGGTGTGGAATCTCCTGAAGAAAGTCCTTTAAGAAGTAAAAAAAATGCCTATGTTAGGATACATTATCATCATGGTAGAACACCTTAAAACAATTATGCCTGTTAACAAAAAAGTTTTCAAATAAAACTAATTATGTATTTTTTAAGAACCCCAGAAGCCAGTTATTGTCTAATTAAGATTGTGCTGACATTTGATTGCTTCTATTAGCATACACATAAACTCTTTTTTGCAGAATTATAATTAAAGTATTAATAATAAAAAGAGATCTAAATAAAACAATGCATGTTAAAACCTTACCAAAAACTTGATTCTCCCTTAAAAAAAAAAAAAGGATTAGCTGTAATTTGAAGCCCTAGCTTGCTCCAAATGAAACAGAGCCGAACAGGAAGATAAGTGCATTTGTCATATGGGATTGCTGGCTAAAGAGTTAAGTTTTCTTCTCTAAACTCTGGCTCAATAACTTTAGAACTACTTCTAGATCCCAGAAGAGCAGCAGCAATTCAGATGCCAGAGCTAAGGGCCACAGAGACATTCTTCCTAATAAAAAGGAGTTAAGTAATACAAACTTGTAAAAAGAAAAAATCATCAATCAATAAATGCTTGGCTGACAGCTCCTGAAATGATGCAGAGAATTTAAATTTTTTTTTTATCATTATACATTATAAATTTAACCTTCACAAAAATCTCAGCATCAGTTCCAATTTTCATATTCAAATCGATAGACTATGTGACTGTTCAGATAGTACTCCTTCTTCAGTCGGTCTGCTTCGTAAAGGATCTTTCTCAGCAACTGTGTGTTCATCATGATTGAGGATGCCCTCCCAGCGCTCTAGACTGCGTCCAGAACCCTGCCGTCCATCTACTGCCTGCCAAAGAAACCCACTACCCTGGCCAGACTGGTCAATTCTTCATCTCCCTAATAAAATATTCTGTGCCTTTCTGAGCATTACAGATTCTAAGAGTTGGAACATTTTCCTCTCACTTACCCCTTTGTGTGTTCTACCCTAAAAAAATCCATATATTGCCCTATAACAAGAGCCTGAAGTCAACTTATTTTCTTCTGTATCTTCTATATGGCCCTATGTTATGCTGGGTTGCATTATAGTAATTGGTGTAAGGTCTCATCTTTATTAGATCATAACACTTACAGCACAGGATTAATTTATGTACCATGGTATCCCCATCATACCCAGCAGTGTCTCAGTACTAACATGCAAAATATTGTCCTTTGGAAAAAAATAAAATCACCTATAATGATTTCTTATATTTTAGAAAATTCTCTTTTATAAATTTTATGTCTTTTGGCTTCAGGAAGTATGGGTCCAGTGATGACCTGACATTTTGCAGGAACAGTATTTGTGAAAACATGGGTGATTCTTCTGATTTCTAATTTTTAAACCACAATGGTAATTATAAGAAGCTTTCTACAGAGAACTACAAAGAAATTAAGAGAACTACTGTAATGTCTTAGTTCTCTTCCCTAGCCATACAACTGTGTCTAAAATATTTAGCCGATGAATAGACACCTCTCCAAACAGAACATACAAATGGCCAAGAGACATATGAAGAAATGCTCAACATCACTAATCATCAGAGAGATGCAAATTAAAACAACAATGAGGTATCACCTCACACCTGTCAGAATGGCCGCCATCAACAAATCATCAAACAACAAGTGTTGGCGAGGGTGTGGAGAAAAGGGGACTCTAGTGCACTGCTGGTGGGAATGCAGACTGGTACAGCCGCTATGGAAAACAATATGGTGCTACCTCAAAAAATTAAAAATTGAACTTCCATTTGACCCAGTGATCCCACTGCTGGGAATATACCCTAAGAAGCCTGAAACACCAATCAGGAAGAATATATGTACCCCCATGTTCATAGCAGCACTATTTACAATAGCTAAGATCTGGAAACAGCCCAAGTGTCCACCAGTAGACGAATGGATAAAAAAGCTGTGGTACATATACACAATGGAGTACTATGCAGCGGTAAGAAAGAAAGATCTCTTATCCTTTGAGACGACATGGAGGGACCTGGAAAGTATTATCCTAAGTGAAAGAAGCCAAGCAGAAAAAGACAAATACCACATGATCTCACTTATATACGGAATATAATGAACATAACAGTCTGAGGAATACAGTAGACCCAGACACATGGAAGTAGGGCACAGACTGACATCCCTCAGAAGAGGGGATGGGGGGTGGGGGGGTGGGAAGAGATAAACCACAGAACTTATATGCATGTATGCATGACCAATGGACATGGACAACTAAGCCGGGGACAGGGTGGAGGGGGGTGGGGTGGGGGGTAAAAAGGTAAAATATCTGTAACAAAAAAATAAATAAAAATTCATTAAAAAATAAAATAAAATAAAATAAAATATTTAGCCGAAAAGTGGAACAACCTGTCTTGGCTGGTTTGGCTCAGCGGTCAGAGCATTGGCCTGCGGTCCAGAGAGACCCGGGTTCGGTTTCTGCTAAAAGCATGGACCTCGGAGGGAGGAAAAATGGCGGCGGAGTGAACAGAAGCTACACAGACCGTCTCCCAGAACCAAACTGGAATTACAACTATAACACAGACAAATCGACGGGAAAAAGCAACAGAAAAGCAGCTTGTGAGGACCATATAACCAGGGACACTGACTCCATCCCGGTAGGCTTGTGAAGGCGCGAGACGGGGCTGGGAGCCCACGGTCGACTGCTCGGCAGCGGCCTCAGCTGGGAGCAGTGCCCGCTACACTCCCAGGCGGCCCCACAGCGCAGCCGGGACAGAGGCTAAAACAGCCACAGCCACTCACCTTGGGCTCCGGCAGAGGGAGGGCGGACTGGACTGGAACTGTGTCGGGACACTCGGGGTTTGGAGGGCGCTTAGAGCTTTGGCTGAGTGCAGCCACGCAGGACGGTGGGCATATTGCTCCTTCCCAGGGCTCTGAGGAGAGGCAGCAGCCCCTCCCTTGGAGATCCAACCCCACCCTGTGGGCCATTGAAGTGCTAATTGAGGCTCATTAACAACCAGCGTCTGCCCCACCCTCGTGAAATCCCCTTGTGCTGAGCACCTGAGGGAGCTTTTCAAACTCATCAAGTAACCTAGACTGCTAGCCTCCAGGCAAAAAGCTAGAGGATAACAGTACCTTTCCTGGGCTGGCAACTTTAACCAGGAAAGCAAGACTTGACAGTGGTGTTCAACGTGCGTCCTCCCTCGCTCATCTAAACACAGAAGAGGGAGCCACAAACAGCAGAACACCAACACCCACAGGGAAAACTTGACAGGCTCCAAAGCCCACAGTGATAGCCAAAATGGTGAAACACAGAAACAGAAGCCAAATGAAAGAACAAGACACCTCCACCGAAGATGAGATCAGTGTGGAGCAATTAGGCATGTTAACAGAGCTAGAATTCAGAGCCATGATCTTGAGGAAGCTCAACAGCATGAGTAAGGACATAGAGACACTGAAAATAAGCCAATTGGAAATTAAAAACCATCAAGAAGAGATAAAAAATGACATATCAGAAATGAAAAACACATTGGAAGGTTTAAAAAGCAGAGTAGAGGAAGCTGAGGACCGGATCAGTGAATTAGAAGACAGGGTAGAAAAAATCAACCAATCAGAAAAACAAAAGGAAAGAACTATTAAAAAACAGGAAGAGCCCTGGCCGGTTTGGTTCAGCGGTTAGAGCGAAGGCCTGCGGTCCTGAGAGACCCGGGTTCGGTTCCCGCTAAGGGCGCTTACCTCGTTTGCAGTTTGTCCCCGGCCCTGGTCGGTTGTGCGGGTGGCAGCCACTCGATGTGTTCCTTTCACGTCGATGTTTCTCTCTCTCTCTCTGTTCCTCTCTCTCCCTTCCACTCTATCTGAACAAAAAAATGGAAAAATGTCCTCAGGTGAGGATAAAACAAACACACACACACACACACACACACACACACACACACACACAAACAGGAAGACAGCTTAAGAGAACTATGGGACAACTGGAAACGTAATAGTATTCGCATCATAGGAGTCCCCGAAGAAGAAGAAAATGAGCAAAGGATAGAGAATATATTCAAAAAAATAGTGACAGAAAACTTCCCTAATTTGGTGAAGGAAGAAGGCATTCAAGTTCAAGAAGCACAGAGAGTCCCAAGTAAGAAGAACCCAAACAGGCCCACACCAAGACACATAGTAATTAAAATGGCACAAATTAAAGACAAAGAGAGAATCCTAAAAGCAGCAAGAGATAAGCAACAGGTTACCTACAAAGGGAACCCCATAAGGCTCTCAGCTGACTTCTCACAAGAAACACTACAGGCCAGAAGAGAATGGCATGAAGTAATCAAAGTCATGAAAAACAAGAATCTGAATCCAAGACTACTCTACCCAGCAAGGCTATCATTCAAAATAGAAGATCAAATAAAGAGCTTCCCAGACAAAAAAAGGCTAAGGGAATACATTAGCACCAAACCAGCACTGCAAGAAATGTTAAAAGGACTGCTGTAATTAGCAGTAGAAATGGGAAGAAAAATAGAACCACACTAAACAAAAATGGCAATAAATAAGTACATATCAATAATCACCTTAAACGTAAATGGATTGACTGCTCCCATAAAAAGACACAGAGTAGCTGATTGGATAAGAAAGCATGACTCATCTATATGTTGTTTACAAGAGACCCACCTCTCAACAAAAGACTCACATAGGTTGAAAGTGAAGGGATGGAAAAAATTTTCCAAGCAAATGGAAAGCAAAAAAAAGCTGGGGTAAAAGCATGTACCTCAGTTGCAGTTTGTTCCCGGCCCAGTTGGGGTCCTGAGATGTGTCTCTCTCACATCTATGTTTCTCGCTCTCTCTTCCTCCCTCTCTCCCTCCCACTCTATCTAAAGATAAACGCAAAAATGTTCTCGAGTGAGGATTAAAAACAAACAAACAAAAAACAGGTGGAACAACCCAAATATCCATCAACAGATGAATGGATACACAGAAGGGGGCATGTGCTGCAACAGGGATGGTCTTTGAAGGCATTATGCTAAGTGAAAAAAGCCAGT